TAATGCGCAGTTTTTATTTATACACTCCCCGGCCATTTTATTAGGTGGTCTCACTGGTTTAATGGTATGTTTTCTCATGTCTGGAGCTGTTTTTTTAGGGGCGGTAATATCAGTTGCTTACGTAGAGCTGACACAACGCCAACACACAGAACATACCCACAAAGGGAGCCGACCAACGCCCAGAGATATGGCACATAGAACTATTGAAAGAAAAGAGAAAGAAAATAGAGATGGAAAGAAAAGAAAGTTACAGGAATAGGCTGACAGAAGACGGGAAAGAAAGGCAGAAAAAAAATAAAGGAGAGTAAACAGAGGAGGGGTTCCTCCTGCTGAGTCAACACTGTTATCTTACACACACAGTATTAGCTGCTGTCACTCACAACCATCCGGCTTTACAGCACTCTGACACGTCTTCTGTAACATCACTGTGGTAACGTGACCAGTAAATTCAGAGTCACAGGTTGCCATGGTAACAGCCACTGGGCAGAGGCCTGGCGCCAACATGGCTGCTGTTGCAAAGTGGGAGGGTTAGTGAATTCTGCGACTGCGCACTGTTACACAACCATGGGGTTGTGTGTGTGTGCGTGCGTGCGTGCGTGCGTGCGTGCGTGCACGCTGAATGGTGGCATGAAGTTTGTCCCATTGATAAGAGCTGCAGGTTGTGTAACAGCTCAGTATTGCCAGCGTCCGGCTGCAGATAGCAGCTCAGATCTGCTACCATACTGCTATTGTCAGCTAGTTAGCTTGGGACAACTAGTCTGGTCAGTAGAACATCTGGGATAGCTACCAGGAACAGGATTTTAGTCTGGGGTTATTTACATTAATCTAGCCTGGTCAGTAGTTGATTACAATAAAAGACCAGGCCTGCTCAGACGTTAGTCTAAGATATTTAGCCTTAGCATGACAGGCACTTAGCACTGGGGTTCTTAACTTTAGCCTGACAGACAGTTAGCACAAGATTTCTTAGGCTTAGCCTGACAGGCAGTTAAAGCTGGGTTTCTTCCCCTTAGCCCAACTGACAGTTTTTGCTGGGATAGTTAACTTTTACCTCACAGGCAGCTGGTCTGTATTACCTATCCTTCACTTGACCAGCAGTTAGCCTAGGTTTATTAGCCTTCACCTGACAGACCGCTAATGGTGAGATAGTTCACCTTTACCTGACAGGCAGTATATTCTTAAAGAGTTAAGCTTTGCCTAACAGACAGACATCTTGCTGTCAGTTTACCTTAGACTGAAATGCAGAACGGCTGGGGTAAATGGCCTTTATCTTACTGGCAGATACTTTTAATACTGGGATAATTAGTCTTAGTTTGACCAGCAGTTATCTTAGGGCTTTTATCTCTAGTCTGACAGGAAATCAGCCTTGGATGGTTATGGTAAGTCAGACTAGGAGGTATCTTGCCATACTAACATGTATCCTGCTGAGATCACCCGAGACACTTTTCCTTAGCCTGACTGTCAGTTTGGTTTGTATTGTTAGCTTTTGGCTGACAATAATTAGTTGGGGTGACAGGTTGTGTTACGGTGGAGCATGGAATAATGAGCATTGCACAAACAGAATTTCGTCTAACCAGGTGCTGGCTTTCGATAGTTTTATGTATAATTTTGGTATATTTTTTGATACAGTTTGTTTTTGCTATGTCAACAGGAACTTAATCTTGTATGACATTATATTGACCAGGGGGTTGCATGGAATTAATTTTCTCAGTTTGACCAGGATAGAATGTGTTGCCAGGTCTGTTGTCAGCTAGCCTAGACAGGTTAGGACTGCAGCTTATGTGTCAGGCAGAGATGTTTTAAGATAGCCTGATGTAGCAGTAAGTGAGCATTAAGGGCAAAACACATTGGTGCGGACATTTCTTTTCTATGCTAGTCAATACACTGGCTAACAGAAGCTGCATGTCATTGTGGGTTCACACTTGCTGAATACTGTGTTTTTTTGTTTTTGTTTTTTTTACTTCCTCTGTGTGGTGTATCTGTTGTATGCTGCAGGCTTTTAAGTGATATGTGTGTTTTGCTACCTATTCTGTGGGTTAGTCTAATAAGAACTAACCTGACTTTGCTGATAGAATGGCCTGTTGTATGTTTGTTTTTACTGTTCAGCTTGTGGTTTGGGTTGATTTATAATTTTCTCTGTGTCTTTTGTCCAGGACTCCTCTTGTAGCATCTCTAGATGATCAGAGTGCTCCTCCCAGCAAGGGTAATCTACTATTTTGTGTATATAATAATCTCATAAGCTGACGACCTCAACATGTTATGACACTAACAAAACCCTCATTTAAGGGGCCTTTGGTTTATGACAGATACTTGAAACCAGTCACAACTTGTTTTTAAAACTTGGTCAGTGACAGGCACTATGTATTAGAATTGGCTGAGAAACTTCTCTAGCTATGGATATGTTACTGATAGGATTTTTTTTGTACTTGTGTGTGTGCGTGTGTGTGTGTGTGTGTGTGTGTGAACAGGAGCACTCAAGAACGGCTGCAGCTTTGAAGATGACCTTTCACTGGGAGCTGAAGGTCAGTACAGAATAAAACTCGCAGTACAAACAAGATTAGAGATCTCTGCTCATTGTTAACGTTTTCCTTTTACATTCTGCTATTTTTCTATTTTAACTTATGCCGCCAGTGACCGGAACACTTACATTTTGGTAAATTCTCTTGCTCTCTGTTTTGCCCAGAGTAAGATGAGAAGGTTGATATTGGTAGTGCTGCCAGTTAAAACTTGAATTTTTAGTCGAGACTCATTAACTGCAAAACTAACTGTAGTGGAAATAGAGAAGTGTGATTAATGTGCACTCTCTGCCACCCCTTGATTTCATCTGTGTTGCTGAATGCTTGTGAAGTCATTTCCTCTGCTACAGCCCAGTGTTATTGTCAATTTTTAGCAGTCAGGAGAGGACCACTGCAGTGTGTGAAGATTATTTTTGTTTTTTACTCATTACTACCCCAGTGACCCATATATCTCCATCAGCAAAATAATAATGCATACTTAAGATGCATATTTTTACAGTGGGCTTTATCAGACAGATATGGTGAGTATATACAGTATGTTCAGTCTTACAGACGACAAGTTCAAAGTCACTGTTCACTGTTAAAGTGATACAAGAATGAGCTCCAGGTGAAAAAACATGACTCACTGAGCAAACCCTACACATCAAACTACTCAGCTTTGTTCATTTCCACAGAATTCAGTAGTGATAAACAGAGCTGGGAGAAAGTCACACATGTGCAAGTCTCAAATCTCAACCTTTAAGTCTCAAGCAAGTGTCAAGTTGCTGTGGTGAGAATCAAGCAAGTTGAGTCGGGTCCCTACTATAAGTCAAGCAATTCACACATCAAGTCATACAAAATTCTCATGATCTGATAATGTTATGGAAATATCATATTTAAGGGAAACATTTACAAACTTCCCGTGATTAACTGTGCATTTGTAGACTATAAACTAACCCTTGACTCTAAGAAAGGCATGCCTTTCATGGCCATCAGAAACTCTTCTCAGTAAAATGCATAATTGATTAGAAGACAAGTTGACCAACTTGAACTTAACGTTTACTTTCTTTCTAATGTTTGACCAGTCAGTAGGTTAACTAACGTACAGATTCATGTACTCACCTTTCTTTGTGAGTTTTGTAGAGACAGATGAAGTTGGATGTTGTGGTGGTTGCTGAATTTTGCACTGAGGTTGAGTCTTTTGCCAGTGTTAGTCAAGCAAGTCTCAAGTCCTCAATTTTGCAACTTAAGTCCAACTCAAGTCATGTGACTTAAGTCCCCCACCTCTGTATACTGTTGTAATGTAACAATTCAGTAGTAGTGCAACAATACATAAACTTAGGCTAGCATTAAATATCATTGCACTGTAGACTTGTAGCAGAAACAAACAATGCTGTAGCTTCTGATTGTGACTTGACAGTTGGACTCAGCATGTCTTCCCTGGACAAACGAAAGCCATGTACTTGCAGCAGTAAGGACTTTTTGGGCTTAAAGTAAGACAGTGTTTGTTTGAAACTGTATGACTTGCAGTAGAATAACCCAAGAGCAAAATGGCATAGTATGCCAAACCAGTCTAAAATTTATCATTTTCTATACCGCTTAGTCCCGAACGGGGTCGCGGGGGTGCTGGAGCCATTCCCAGCTGGCATCGGGCGAAAGGTGGGGTACACCCTGGATAGGTCGCCAGTCCATCGCAGGGCCCCAGTTTAAAATATGTTTGTTAATTAGGTATATAGATACTATGTATATGCAATAGATTGTATCTGCATGTTGACATTGTGATTTTTGCTCATATAGCCGAGCACATCTTCGTCCCTTGATTCATTTTCCAGGATAATCCAGCAGTGACTGAACTTGGGTTTATTTTTGTATTTATTGTAAGTTGTCAGTATTTAATTACAATTAATGAACTGTCAGACAGTTTGAAAAGTAAAATTTTATTTGGTGCCATTGAAATTTGCTAAAAGCTCATAATTGTGTTTTTCCTAAACTCCCATGTGATGAGGCTCATTACCTGCAGCAGCTGAATTATTGTGATTTAGGAATTATCTCTCTGCGTCTAAAACTTCACAGATGACGGAGTTGATTGTTCAGTGAAAGCCTTGGGGAATTACTCTTAAATCAAAAAAATAAGGAGTCTAAAAATTAGGACTAACTCGATAAGTTTGGAGCTACTTTAAGCCTGAAAATGTTTTGTGAATGCTGCTCCTGATGTGCGACAAACACAACAGTGTCAGTGGAGTTAACACAACATTGGGAGAAACGCTGCATCATGTTCATTCTTCAGTCCTGTTTCTTCATGAAGGAAAAGTAAACAGTCACAGAGGTGTGGAAACACAATGTTCGCATGACTGATAGTCATGAGTGAACAACAGTCAATAATGACTTTATGTTGAAGAATTGAATGGTTGTATGTAGCAAGTTTAGTTTGATTCAGTCATTATGAGGACATTTTGGCAAGTTCTCACAATTTAAATGGGATTTTTTTAGGGTTAAGATCCTAATGTCTTCCCTCTAACAGATTTCTATTTCTTGGATGGAGTAGCCTTAAGGATGCAAAATGAATTTCAGTCTAAAACCTGACAATAAAGTTGTTGTATCATATCATATTTCAATAAAGAAAGAATAAAGAATACCATCCAGAAATATAGAGTTTAGTGTTGCTTAAAACTTAACTTCTCCTCAGTTAGTGTTTGTGTTTCTATACATTCCTGCACCCTCTAAGTTTCCTGTAATAATTTATCTTCCCACACCACACCCTTTGAACACTTTTCTCCATTTGAACTTAAATGAGCTTAAAGGCTGTGTGTTAATTTGGATGAGTACTGCATTTGCTGAAAACTTAAGCAGCCTCTTTACTTGAGTTGTTCTGTCTACTTCCTGTATCAGCATATGTTGTTTTGTCCTGACAGTAAGCGCCTTAATCGTGTTTACTGATAGTTGACAGAAGTAGCTGATGTCCTCAGCTCTGCAGAAGGCTTTAGAGATGTCATGTTTGAACAGATTCTAATGGGCTGTACTGATGTCAAATGTTATCAGGACAGTATAGGAAGGGATTAAAGTGTTATTGTCTGAATGAAATGAAGTGAATTAGTAAATTAAAGGGCCCAGGGTGAATAGGCATTGGAGTGAGTAAGTGTTTTAGTGTGAAGAGACAAGTTATCATCATATTTGTCTCCTTTAATCCAACTGTCTGTCAGAGAAGAAATCATTTTGTATTTCTAGGAAGAAGAAGATATTCAGCTAAAGTGAAGTAGAAAAAAAGAGAGGCTCACTCTCACAGACAGTAGCAGGGTAGCACGTCTCAACATGTTCCTCGTACTTGTACAAGAGAGCAGCCGTCACACCTTCAGCTCTCTGACACAATAGAAACTAACCTGATTCATTCTATAACATCCCAGTGCCAAAATATTTGCCATTAAAATTCTGGCGCATCACCATGTAGGTAAATTGTTGATGGCTGCATGCATGATACTGTTCTAATGCTAAGCTGCATATTAAGACTTTAGGCACTAGTGAGTGTGCTTACAGCAATTCTGTTTATCAGTTAACTTCATACAAAGTCAAGTAAACAATCAAACAAACAAACAAACAAAAACTAATCTCAGTGTTCAGTGTGACCACCCTTTGCCTCTAAAATGGCACTAATTCTCCTCACTACACTAGTTTTTCCAGGTTGTTCCAAGTATCTTGGAGAACTTGCCGCAGTTTGCCAGTGGATTTAGTTTGTCTCGGTGACTTCTGTAATTCCAGACTGATTCCACTGACTGCTGAATTTGCATGATGGATAAGAATCCAAGTACCAAAAATGTTTGTCCAGTGTTGCGTGTTCCAGGCAAAAAGTATTTATCATCTGATTTATGCAGATGTAAATAAAAAATAATCTGTTTTTATATTGCAGTGCAGAGTTGGTTAGACCTTGTATTATAAGTATGATCAGACTCTTATTGTATAACCTGCCTGTCTGTATGAGGATGTTGTTTAACTGCTACATTTGGCAAATCCAGCACACTATGATATTATTAATTGAGGATGCTGGAATGTACAAGTTGTGAATGGGGAATTTGTTATTAATGTGATCTATAACCCCACGCTGACCATCCCATCCTATTCACACCACTTCAGCATGTGGGGAAAGCTTGACAAACCTAGTGTGCCTGGTTATAGTTGCTAAGGTGTGATTAGCCTGGCAAAGAAGCAATATGAAGAACTTAATTTGAGCTTGGGGTGGGGGGCTGTTACTTTGATTAGTGAATGATAAAAATATTTATTGGGTGCTGACTAATATGTTGCCTTCCTTCAGCCTGATGTGTTTTTTTTTTAACTGATAATATGAGTAATCTTACCTTCATTGTTTTTTTTTCTGCAGCCAACCATCTTCAGTCCACTAACAATAAAACTCAACCCTGGTGAGTTCATTTGTATTTTATTCTCTACATTCGGTCATTGTACCTCCTAATGTGCCCCAGGGCAAAAATGTTAGGGTCCTATTAAACCCCACTGTACATGGCAGTTTTCTTATTTTCTCAGAATCCAATCAGTCAATGGACAGAAAATTAGTTGGCAACACTTTTAAATTTAGATTTTTATTAAGTGTTTTGTCATTCTTAAAGCAGGAAAATACAAAACTCTCCAGTGTTAAGACATGCTATTTTCATATGATGGTAATCTCAATATTTTTGACTGTTGATCAGACAACAGAAGCTTCACTTGAGCTTCAGGGAATGATGATGTACCTTCTTTTTTTCTTTATACTGTGTTCTGACATTTTATACACTGAACAATCAGTCAGTTATTCAGTTATAAGAAAATCATTGTCAGACTTACTCTTCTCTTATGATGGAACAATAAGGCGTGGACTGAGGTTTTCTGTGTGGTAATTGCTTGACACAGATAAAGATGGATGCATTTTGATAAAACAACTTTAAAATGAAGAAGCCTGATATAAATTCAAGCAATTCAGGTCTTAAAACTAGATTTTGAATAGGCTCTCTGCAAGAGGAAACTATTAAATTGAGGTTGGAGGACTCATAGTTTAATATTTTAAAGTCCAGCTGACAGATAAATCAGTTTCTCTACTCTGTGTATGTTAATGTTTCTGTGCATGTAAATGTGTTTTGTGTAGTCTCACTCTTGCTGCACAAGCGAAGAGGAGTCACTTTAAAGAGAACGGCAGAAGTATGAACTCGACAGGGTCTGGGAAGAGCAGCACTGTGTCCAGGTCAGTACATCGCCCTAGTCTTCAGTCATTCTCTTAGAGGTTTCTGCAGGAAGCATGTAGTGATCTCTGGTAGAGAGGGGCTGGAGACGTAGAGAGCTGTTATTTCAAAGCTCCCAATATTTTTTTCAGCCTAGAGCACATGTGTTAAACTCAAGGCCCGCGGGCCACATTCGGCCCGCTGTACAATTACAACCCGCCCGCGAATTATAACACACAAACTACAAATCCCATAATGCAGCACAACAGCTGCCTTACTGAATAATAGGCTCCCTGTGATCATTCCTGCGTCAATTACGTCAGATCAATCAAGCGTCTGTTGATGTATACAACCCTAATTTCAAGTCAAAGCTAGCCCCTAACAATGGCCAAGAGAAAAGTTTATTTTGAAAACAAACCCTTTCAAAACCGGTGGGAGGCTGAGTATATGTTTACTGACATTGCCGGTAAACCCGTGTGTCTTATTTATGGAGCTAATGTGGCTGTAATTAAAGAATATAACCTAAGACGGCACTACGAGACAAAACATCAGGACAAGCTGGAAAAACGTGAATGCAGAGCAGAAGCTACAGAAGGTAGAGGAGTTGAAGAGGAATCTGACATCACAGCAGATGTTTTCACCAAAGCAAAATCACACAGTGAAGCTGCTGTGAAAGCAAGTTTTATTGCGGCAGAGGAGAAAATGAGCCCGGCCATTTACCGAGGGAGAGTTTCTGAAGAGCTGCATGATGAAAGTGTGCAACGTCTTGTGTCCAGACAAAAAGCAGGTGTTTGCAAATGTAAGCCTTAGTAGAAATACGGTTGTGACTAACTGTACAAAATGCATCCTCCAGTCTAAAGTTAGTGGCAGGCAGACCGCATTTTAAAAACACAGGGTAGAGAATTCAGGGACACAGAGAACTTAACCCAAAAAACTAACCAGACATATAATGTGTAAGAATTTTATTAAATCAGACATTGTTTGTGATATTATGTACAGCTGACTTTTTTTTCAGCAGTAGCTATTCAATTACATTATTACCTCTCTGCAGGTGGAAGGCTGCACAGTGCACACCTTCCAGCTCTTCAGCAAGCTAACCATTGTACAGTACAAAAATGTCAAATATACATGCTTGCCCACCAGAGAGCTCTAACAAGTTCATATTTCAAGTGTAAAAAGTCGTGCTCAGTGCATTTCTAGGTCATAACTGATAATGTTTAACAGATCCTTAGTAAAAGTAAATTTTGTTATTAATTTTTGAATAAATGATGTTTGATTTTTTAAATTCTTAGAGAACATCAGTATGGATCTCAGAAGTTGAGTACTGCTATAGTTATTAATAGGCATTAATCTACCACTTATTCAATTACTTTGTCCACAAAATGACCAAAAATACTCTTGTTTTAATTTTCATAGACCAACCTAATGTATTGAAATGTCTTGTTTTGTCAGTCCACATCCATAGATAGCCAATTTACTGTTATGCTTGATAAAGAAAAACATCAAATCATCTTATCAAAAAAGTTAGAAACCACAAATATTGAACATTTGGTGGGGTTGGGGATAGCTCATAGTGTCACTGCTCTAAAGAAAGTCTGGGTTCTGACCTTTCCAGATCTCCATCGTTGAAGCAGGAGTGGTCAGTAAACTACCTTAATGTGCATCAGTACATTGGTCTTTGGAGGATTTACTATTGATCTGTCTGCTCTCTGTGCTACTGGTAGCATTGTGGGAGGCTGATTTATTGGTGGTGGTGAGGGGTCAGACTGGAGGGTGTGCCCAATGGGGGGCAGTGCTCCAGCATTTGGTGGTGTGATGGTTTATAATGAGCCAGGGTTAGTGCATCATGGGCAATCCATCCTCTGTTGTATGTTGTTGAAGCAAAGTTTGAGAGCAGATTGAAGGGTTGTCAGGGTGAAAACCAGTCAGTGCGTCAGACATTCAGGGAGCCACTTTTGCTCCATTAAAGGATAAGATTGCAAGTTTTCAAGTTTAAAAAATAGTCCTTTGCCCATATGTACATTGAAATAATTCATGCATGCTGTTTTCTCTGTTCATACTGTCCTTTCTAATGTTCCCTTCCTGTACTTACAACACAAGTGATGGTGACAAAATCCATAGTTCTCCTTTTGTGCAAACTTGTATTCCAAAGTTTATTTAAAAAATGTCAGACTTCACTGCAGCTCAACAGGGAAACACTGTCCAGGGAAACTAAGTAGGAATTTTATGTCAGAAAGATATTTTGAAAGAGATCCACTTGATTTGTCTTATAGTACTTTGACTGCTGAAGCTTCTTATGATAAACCTTTGAATTAGGAAGGGCATTAAGAAAGGTTCTTTTAATGGTGTGAACAAGAGGAATGATTACAGAAAGATAAAATGGTTTTACTGTTTATATGAGCACCTGACTTTTGTGTTAAGATTGGAAAAAAGATCCTTTAAACATACCAAAAGAGGGCAAAAAGCTGAATTTGTTCTCTGCTGCAGGAGCTGTTCACAGCATTATACAATACATGAGCTTCAGTGCAACCCTGATTGTGGTTAAAAAGAAACCAGAAGACATTTTCTGTTATCCTGTTAGAGAGTCCCTCCAGGAATCTGTGGTTTTGTGATCAAAGAATGACTGTAGAGTCAACAAAAAAGGGCCAAACTCAAAGAATGCCTGCTGATTCAACTACCACAATGTTATGTGGTTCGTGTTCAAACCTGCCAATTCAATGGATAGATGGGGGGGGGGTGGCTCTTTGCTTTTCTGGAACATTCCTGGTCTGGAATAGAAAGCCCTGAACAGGACATTCCTGAAATCCCTAAACTTGTTTTTCATCTCACTGGAGCTTATTATATACCATAATTGAGTAAGCTAAACCAGGTTCTAGACTCAGAGATATTAGAGTGAGTGCACGAAATTCATTGTCGGCTTTAATCTCAGTACGAGATTCTTGCTAATTAACCAAAAAATAGAAAATCATCAGCCTTGTCCTTTAAAAGCTGCTGCAAAATAAACCTCACTTGGGTCATTTTGGTCCACAACAATCACAGAGCAACTTTGCTGCATTCTGGACGGACTGATCTTCTGCCAATGGCAAGATTCTTCAGATCTCTGTCTGCTCTAGGAGGAGCTGTTGATGAGGTGGGGAGGGGCAAAGCATTAATTGTAGTCTCCAGGGAGGCTGAGCATCACACTTGCATACTTCATTACTAACTATCTAATGAACTAACTACCTCATTACCAGACAGACCATCTAACAGCAAGCACTGTGTGAGACGTGCTAACTGGCTGTCTGTGTTTAGTGGTCAGAGGAGCATCCTCCTTACCCTGTGGTTAGACTGACTAAACTAACCAGCAGACTAACTCACCAGCTAAATGACTGGCTGGCCGACTGACTGACTGTCTGTGTATATCCACAGTGTGTCAGAGCTGCTGGATCTGTATGAGGAGGACCCAGAGGAAATCCTCCTAAATCTTGGTTTTGGTCAAGAAGAACCTGACTTGACATCGCGGGTTCCCTCCAGGTTCTTAAACAGTTCCTCATCAGCACAAGGCATCGACATCAAGGTACTGACGATAACAGGGTTTACATAGACTGATGTTTAGCAGGTGTAATGTTTACCATGTTCACCGTCATATTTTAGAGTGTTAGCTTTCCAGTATTTGGAAATTAGCACTAAACCAAAGTACAGCTGAGGCCAATCAGAATTTCATCTGTTTTGCAGGTGTATGGTCATAAGCCAAAGTACAGTAAGAGATACATTTAAATTTTAACCTCATGATGCCCCTAGATGAGATGTAGTCAAATGTGTGTAGTCAGTTTATCCAGTAGTTGTTGTAGACATTTCACTCAAAATCACAAATATAAACCTTATGGTGGCAGAAGAGGAAAAATCTGGGGAACAGCAAAGTCATTAAGATTCATCCTTTGAGGACCTTGACTATCTCTGCAGAATGTCAGGGTAATCCGTTCAGTAGTTTAGATATTTCAGTCTAGACCAGAGTGGTGATCTGCTGCTAGCATGCTCAAAAAACACCAAACCGTATTGGTCAACCACTGCTGGTTTTGTACCATTGATCACTGGCCACTGATTTATAATGTCTTCCTGTGGTTCACCTACAGGTCTACCTGGGAGCTCAGATGCAACGCATGGAAGTGGAGAACCCCAGCTATGCTCTGACTAGTATGTACCTCCATGCTGTCTACAGCGTTTCAGTGTGTATAACTGCACTCTACATCCTCAACAGTGTGTTCTACTGTAATCAGTTTCAGTGGCGAAACAGCACCCAAACACCTTGGTCCTGCAGATTCAGGGTTAAACATGTTAGTGATGAGAAGCTCAGGGGTTCATGTTCTGAAACTGTAGACAGAGGAAGCGAAGCTCAAAGACTGTGTGTGTGTTCTGTTCCCAGTATTATTGTGGCATGTTGTGTGGTCCTTCAGTTTGTTTCACTGTTCTGCCAATTGCCTGGACAACACACCCAACAAGGACAAAGATCTGTTTGTCCCAGACACACACACACACACACACACACACACACAGACCTGCTTCAACAACATCCTGGCCTCTTTTTTGGTTTCAAACTTATGCTTGCATGAAGATGCTGCCTCACTAACTGAACACACACATCCACACACAGCTGATTCTCTTCTTTTTGACAGTTACTTGTCTTGGTGCTGCAAAAAAAAGACCTCATGTGTATGAGAATATGAATCACTCCATAGCTGGAAGTACTTCAGGTTTGTAAAAGTTTGATTTCACCCCTCGATGGCTGTTTGATGAGATTGAAACTCATCAATGGGCCCAGTTTGTCTGAGAGTAAATGAGTCAGAATGGTCTAAATATGAGTGGCACAGCAGCGTGGTGGTTAATGCTGTTCCCTCAGAGTAAGAAGGTTCCAGCTTCGAGCTGATGCCAACCCAGGGCCTTTCTGTGCCAAGTTTGCATGTTCTCCGTGCTTCCTCCCACAGTCCAAAGACATGGCACTTAGGTTGACTGGCAACTCTAAATTGCCTGTAGAAGTATGTGTGGTTGTTTGTCTACATTTTGGCCTATGATAGACTGGGTGCACCCTGCCTCTTGCCTCATGACCCTATTCAGGAATAAGCAGTATAGATAATGGCTGGATGGTTTAAACATTTGCATTTCATCATAAATTGGTATTTGTGTCTCTCTTTGTTTGATCTGTGGGGTTTTCCTGCTGTTCAGTGCATGAGTCTACATGCTTCAGTTTTCCAAGTCTTATTTACCTTATATGTCCTGGCCATGATGTTGTTTGTGATTTGAATATAGTCTTTATTTAAACTCAAAGGACACATTGTGGAACAAGAGCCCTCTTTTGCAAGTGTGTGTTGCTGAAATGTATAAGCTTACTTTATCTGATAATGTCACTGTGAGTGACAGACACATTTCTGATCTGCTCTCCATTTATTCTGGATTCAGATTTCTCTTCAGCCTGTTGGGCAAAGGTTACCAAATGTATGCGTGTTAGGTTTCTAAAACAAACAACCTGATACTGAGAGCTGGAGTAGCTGCTCCTGTATGCATATCATGCTCATAGACTTATAACAGTATCATGACCTAGTTTTTTTTTTTTTTCCTGTCAGGAGCTGTTTGGTGGCACGCACACTGAGTCAATAGATGAGAAAAGGGCCAGTAATAACGGACCTGTACCATTTACAAGGGCATTGTTGTTGTGCATTTTTAAAGAGTAAATTCTATCTCATACAGCTGTGCATGGACAGACATCCACTTTAATGACGACTTTGAGCACAGACAGGACAGAAACTGAAAGTGTTCTGCACTGTAAGAGATGGTATCTCTTGAGTAAGCATAAACTAAGTGCTCAGATCAGCGCACTTTCTTTTTTCAGTCTGTCCCTATCATAAATCAGGTTGTGCTTTTAACAGACAGAGTGTTTTACATTTGCTGCCCTGCCCACTGGGAATTCAACATCTTGCCCAAGGACAATTCAACATGTGAACAGGAGGCGCTGGGGATGGACATGCAAATGACTTTATGTGGTTAGTTCTCTTGTCTGGTGTTCAGCTACCAATGTGTGACTGTTGGCTCGAAACACTGTTCTCTTAAATTTGCTGGGAGTCAGTGCAGTGTGCAGATGTTTTGTTTTACATTTGTCTCATTTTAATACATTTCTTATACTGTCATAGTAAGTAATGGCACCGTTGGCAGTTGTTAGCCATTAATAAGAAAATAAACATTAAGCCTACATCTGATGGTGACACTTAAGCGATTCTTAAGTAAGCCAAGTACTGAACCTAAATCTCAAAGTAATAATCTTTAAGAAATAAATTAAGATAGTATTTTTTAGTTTTTGGATTGTAGTAGTGTCTCAACATATTTGAGACAAAAGGTGTAAGGAAAAAATCTTAAACATTTTAAGAGCTTTAGGTATGTCTAAGTAATGTCTTAAGTATGTCCTCTGGGATCTCTTGTAGGACTCCCTGTTCTTGGCCCTGGCCAAGACAGCAGCATCAGTTGTTCAGACCGAAAATAATTCAATAAAAAAAAAATCACGACAACAGATAATGTTTAAAATCTACAAAAGCAGGTAGTTTTTGTGACTCTGGTTGTGAACAATCAGACATCTCCCCTCATGGTATTGTGGGGTTGATACAAGTCAACTAAAGCACCTTCACAGAAGCATACTTGTTACTGAAGGTATAAGCACACTCAAAAACGGATTAGCTGGTTTAGTGCGGCATCCGACCACAACTGGAAGCAAATGTGTTTAAACTGTTCAGAACAGCTACACTCGAGGGTTTCAGTGAATATCTGACTTTCACAGACGGGGGTGAGGTGTGATAATCATTCAAGTCAGGATACTTCTGGACAATTTGTCCTTGAGGGCGTTCACAGTGTTGTGCTCATTTGTGCACTTTAAAAATGATGGAACTGTGGAGAACAAAGTGAGCTTGAAAAAGAAGCTCACACCCTGGTGATTTTCACATTCAGTTCCCAGTACAGAGAAGGCACTGAGAGAAGGAGTTTGAGACACTGTTCGACCAGTACTTCATTGGAAGTACACTGACTCCTTAAGTGTAATATACTGTCTAAAGCCCTTTTCAGAGATGGGATTTGTAACATTGCTGCATCATCAGTCTATTAAAGCTACAGCTTATGTTAATGTTCATCATGGTTTCATTCACACATACCCACTACTGTGATGGAGAGTACCATCTATGCCTATGATATTTGAGTTTGGACATTACATCAAGTGACTTGTAATGTATGAGGCCAGAGTTGTTTTACTACAACATGCCTGTTGTAGATATTTTTTTTTCTCATGTTATTACTGTTTAGGGCCTTCTTCAAAACTATGTGTTTAGTGTGCGGAGCACCTACTATCATGACTGATAAGCCCCACCATATGTAACAACATCCTACGCCAGTAAGTTGCAACCTTATGCATTCCTATCCATTAATTCAACTGCATGCTCAGACTTGTGCCATGTTGAAATGATATGCAAATGTTTCTACATCCGGATTAGTATGATTTCCCATTGTGACTGAAAATTGACCAGGGTGCTCATTCAGCCATGAAACCCACAAGTTCAGATGCCATCAGATTAATGGAGAGGAGTCTGAAAGGGTCTGAAGACACCACACTTGGGTAGTGAAACTTGGTGTCATTAATGTTGCAGTGAAGAACTGGATCTTTCTAAGTTAACTGCTCCTTTAACAGTTTCTGCTCTGTTTGTGGCTCCTGGAAGCGTTCTTCTTTTCCAGAGCATTCTCATACTGTCCCATCGGTTCCTCGGATCCCAGACACGTGTGTGTGTTGTTTGTTATGTAACTCTGTTCTCACCATCAAAGAGAATCTCTTGGGATGAAGAGAGAGAAAAAGTAGAGTACATGCTGTTTTCTTTTATTCCTCACTTCCTGTTTTAGGATCCTCAGAATGAACATTAGTGCAGAGTCAGCAACCAGCAGGAAACACACAGTATTACTATCATCACACACAGCTGTTGCTGTAATAAGTGGTTCTGGTGCTGTCGTTATGTGCAGATATGACTGAAATAGCTGCACAACACCGATATATATAGTATTTGCTTAATATTTGTGTTAGCATTTATATTTTTTTGTGTGTTGTAGCTTTTTTCAGAATCTTCTAGGTTAAAGATATAGCAGTTGATTTTATTGGTCTTTTGGCAGCAGAATAAGCTAAAAGCACACCGATGTCATATTATCACCTTATAAATTTATTTAGGCAGATGGTTGACAATGTATACATCCAGCACACACAGAGCAACATTGTCACTACATTAGATGTGTGTGTCCACCTAATGAATCAGTGTCTACAATGGTCACTCTCCTTTTAGCTTTGGTTTGGTCTCTGTCAGCTCCACTATATTCACCAGCTAGTCTCTTAAATTGGTCTGCTGTTTGGTGCGGAGCAGGTAATGTACAGTGTTTATCAGGAGCTTATCAAGACCTTTTTCCACTGGAAACAGCTGTCTGCTGGAAATGAGGTGAATGAGAGCGCTTCGACTTTAACTTGCATTAAATGTTTGGTTAAAACCACAAAGCCTGAAAACTCCACAATTCAGCAGAATTGCCTGTGTAACAGTGAATTACAGTGTGGGCTGCCACTTGAGTTGTGTTTTAGCATATTTATTTACAATGGCACCAAAAGTATTCTGAATTAGCTATGTATGGGCCTGGATTACTTTGACACTGAAGAAAACATTCTGTGTTTTCTGATTGCATTTAGGAACATGCATTCACGGTGGACATCAGAGATAACAGTACCTGTTAAAGTGTAAGCCACAAATCTAAAAATATGCTTTATTTAGATTTGACCAGTGGTGGAAGGTAACTAAGGACATTTACTCCAGTACTGTACTTAAGTACAATTTAGAAATATCTGCACTTGAGTGTTTTCATTTTGTGCTATTTCAGACCTTACTACATTTGAGATGCAAATATTGTACTATAGTTATTAGTTTCTTTTTGCAAAAACGGCAGTAATCATAAGACTTCATTAATCTTGGGGGGAAAATTTGCTCAAAGCATTTGACATTATTGACCCATTCACAACTGCAGTAATGCAGTTTTCTGTCATCCAGACAAGATGTTTCAGTGCTTCCTCTAATATGAAAGAGGATTTTTCATGTGACAGCAGTCATGTAAATGAATGTCACCAATGTATCAACCAGCCAGGATGGGGTCAGAGGTGAGCGAATAAAGCCTGTGATGGCATTAAGTTCTGAGACACTTACAGAAGACAGACGTTTGTGTTTCATAACAGACTGACAAGTATTTAGACGGTGAGGAGGAAGGAAGGAAAGTATGCATGTCATCATCCTTTTAGAGACTGACAGCTCAACTTACACAACCATAGATGAAGAAGGGAAGAGTGGCTGTGACT